CTCGGTCACCACCTACTCTCTGCTCCCCACCGGTTTCACAACCCATTATACTTGCACCCCACATTTTCCCACCACCCAGCGTGTCTGCACCCTTCCCCTTAGGACTGCATCTGTACTTGATCTCTCTCCGGTTTACCTGTGCATGCTTACCCCCTAGTCTTACCTGCACACCTGAACCATCCTCTTCTCTTACCACTGGGCCTGCGTCACTGCCTGCATGTTGTCTCCTTAGCTCTCCCTAGTGCACCATCACAGCCCATGCACTCATACCCAACGCTCCCTCCATCTGCTCCCACCATTGTGTCAGCAGAATGCCCCCCTGTTCTCACCAACTCCTTCAACACTAACACGCCTGCAGGCTCTTCTCTCCCCAGTTCACCCTAATCCTCCACCCCACCCCTACATTCTCCCAACTGCCTACACCCCCTGCTCTCCACCATACCTGTACCCCCATCTCTCAGAAGTGTACCTTCTTTCTCTTCACACTTTATGTCCTCCAACTCTCATCAACATGGCTGCACCACCACTACCTCCTGTTCTATACACCATGTCTGAACCTCTCCCGCCGTACTGCAGCACCTCCACCCTGCTTGTTCTGGAACAGGTCACTACTAATATTATTCATTATCACTCCTGGACTGACAGTCCCATGATGGTCTGGATCAGTCAAGGAGTGACAGTCCCATGATGGTCTGGATCAGTCAAGGACTGACAGTGTGATGATGGTCTGGATCAGTCAAGGAGTGACAGTGCCATGATGGTCTGGATCAGTCAAGGAGTGACAGTCCCATGATGGTCTGGATCAGTCAAGGAGTGACAGTCCCATGATGGTCTGGATCAGTCACTGAGTGACTGTGCCATGATGGTCTGGATCAGTCAAGGACTGACAGTCCCATGATGGTCTGGATCAGTCAAGGAGTGACAGTCCCATGATGGTCTGGATCAGTCAAGGAGTGACAGTCCCATGATGGTCTGGATCAGTCAAGGAGTGACAGTCCCATGATGGTCTGGATCAGTCAAGGAGTGACAGTCCCATGATGGTCTGGATCAGTCAAGGAGTGACAGTCCCATGATGGTCTGGATCAGTCAAGGAGTGACAGTCCCATGATGGTCTGGATCAGTCAAGGAGTGACAGTCCCATGATGGTCTGGATCAGTCAAGGAGTGACAGTCCCATGATGGTCTGGATCAGTCAAGGAGTGACAGTCCCATGATGGTCTGGATCAGTCAAGGAGTGACAGTCCCATGATGGTCTGGATCAGTCAAGGAGTGACAGTCCCATGATGGTCTGGATCAGTCAAGGAGTGACAGTGCCATGATGGTCTGGATCAGTCAAGGAGTGACAGTGCCATGATGGTCTGGATCAGTCAAGGAGTGACAGTGCCATGATGGTCTGGATCAGTCAAGGAGTGACAGTCCCATGATGGTCTGGATCAGTCAAGGAGTGACAGTGCCATGATGGTCTGGATCAGTCAAGGAGTGACAGTGCCATGATGGTCTGGATCAGTCAAGGAGTGACAGTCCCATGATGGTCTGGATCAGTCAAGGAGTGACAGTCCCATGATGGTCTGGATCAGTCAAGGAGTGACAGTCCCATGATGGTCTGGATCAGTCAAGGAGTGACAGTCCCATGATGGTCTGGATCAGTCAAGGAGTGACAGTCCCATGATGGTCTGGATCAGTCAAGGAGTGACAGTCCCATGATGGTCTGGATCAGTCAAGGAGTGACAGTCCCATGATGGTCTGGATCAGTCAAGGAGTGACAGTCCCATGATGGTCTGGATCAGTCAAGGAGTGACAGTCCCATGATGGTCTGGATCAGTCAAGGAGTGACAGTCCCATGATGGTCTGGATCAGTCAAGGAGTGACAGTCCCATGATGGTCTGGATCAGTCAAGGAGTGACAGTCCCATGATGGTCTGGATCAGTCAAGGAGTGACAGTCCCATGATGGTCTGGATCAGTCAAGGAGTGACAGTCCCATGATGGTCTGGATCAGTCAAGGAGTGACAGTCCCATGATGGTCTGGATCAGTCAAGGAGTGACAGTCCCATGATGGTCTGGATCAGTCAAGGAGTGACAGTCCCATGATGGTCTGGATCAGTCAAGGACTGACAGTCCCATGATGGTCTGGATCAGTCAAGGACTGACAGTCCCATGATGGTCTGGATCAGTCAAGGACTGACAGTCCCATGATGGTCTGGATCAGTCAAGGACTGACAGTCCCATGATGGTCTGGATCAGTCAAGGACTGACAGTCCCATGATGGTCTGGATCAGTCAAGGAGTGACAGTCCCATGATGGTCTGGATCAGTCAAGGAGTGACAGTCCCATGATGGTCTGGATCAGTCAAGGAGTGACAGTCCCATGATGGTCTGGATCAGTCAAGGAGTGACAGTCCCATGATGGTCTGGATCAGTCAAGGAGTGACAGTCCCATGATGGTCTGGATCAGTCAAGGAGTGACAGTCCCATGATGGTCTGGATCAGTCAAGGAGTGACAGTCCCATGATGGTCTGGATCAGTCAAGGAGTGACAGTCCCATGATGGTCTGGATCAGTCACTGAGTGATAGTGCCATGATGGTCTGGATCAGTCAAGGAGTGATAGTGCCATGATGGTCTGGATCAGTCAAGGAGCGACAGTGCGAGGATGGTATGTATGATGGTCTGGATCAGTCAAGGAGTGACAGTCCCATGATGGTCTGGATCAGTCACTGAGTGACTGTGTCATGATGGTCTGGATCAGTCAAGGACTGACAGTCCCATGATGGTCTGGATCAGTCAAGGAGTGACAGTCCCATGATGGTCTGGATCAGTCAAGGAGTGACAGTCCCATGATGGTCTGGATCAGTCAAGGAGTGACAGTCCCATGATGGTCTGGATCAGTCAAGGAGTGACTGTTCCATCTGGATGTCAGTATAAAATTGCAGGAGAATGATGAGCTCGGGTTTATGATAATTAGTAGAAATAACTGTGCTGCCGCCTGCTGGATACATTGTAGACTGCACTGCAGGACCCGGGACAATCACTGCTAGTCATGTGACATTTATAGGAACAGCAGTCAAACCTTTAATGACTTCCAAATGTACATCATATGACAGGAAAAGTCACCTCCCACTCCCGGCATCCCACTCACAATTCCCTCAGTAATACCCAGAGGAGTTCGTGCTGTACTCAGACCATTGTCATACCTTCACCGTCCCACAGAGAAGAGGACACCCATTTCACAATGATTTCATCATCTAACGTTCTGCCAAAGTACTGCACTCTACATTCATCCTGTGCAGGGAGTATGACGCAGGATCAGGGAGCTCCGTACACTGTACTACACTCTACATTCATCCTGTGCAGGGAGTATGACGCAGGATCAGGGAGCTCCGTACACTGTACTACACTCTACATTCATCCTGTGCAGGGAGTATGATGCAGGATCAAGGCCACGGTACCTCAGCATTGGGGGGGGTGTCCGATGGGGACAAGGGCCTCTTCCCCACACCCCTGACCCGGTGGTTGTGGGGATCTGCAGGCAAGGGGGCTTATATGCATCGGGGTACCCCGTTAAGGGGGGACCCAGATACCCCCCCTGGTACCTCTACCCATTCACTAAAGGATTAAAATTCAATGTAAATAAACAAACCGCACTTTTAGAAAAAATTCTTTCATTGAAAAGTCAATTTTTGACAATTCCTTTAATTTAAAACCAATAAAAATGGCTCCATCGATGTCAT